AAAAATTCAATCCGGAATAACCCATGACCCGCGACCCGGTTCGGTCAGGCCCGTTTTCTTTCCCGGATTATTTTAAATTTCCCGCAATATTTCAAACACACCTTTTCCAACAGCCATGGCTGTTTCTGAAAGGTTGCAAACCTTTTCAGAAACAATGCGAGCAACTGTATAAATAGAGTTTCAATCCCAGAATCTTTCCTTACGAAATTTTCTGAGCTGCTTCTTCTTCTTCTTCTGCGCAATATTTTTCAGTGTGTTTTACGACCATTGAGTGGTTCGCAGTTCATCAGAGTTTTGGTATCAATACACTGGTGAGTTAAATCGTTCTATCCTGGGAGGATATATTCCAGCACCTCGGGTATTTGAGGGGAATAATTTCCTTAAGGACATACTGTGTATTCGGTGGGCTCGATTTATTCTTATATTGTTTCTTTTTGTTTTTCAGAATCTATTTCGTTAAATAATTATTACTAACTTTCTGTTTTTGTTTTTTCAGAAAGTTTAATTATTTATTATAGCAATACAGAATAATAACATTAATGGCTTATCTTCCTCTACCCGGAGCTTGGTGCTATACATGTCGTCCCAAGTTACCTGGGAAATTCTCGGATGTTGTCCTTCAATCTCCTAGTAGTCTCCGAACTCTTTTTGTTCAGATTGCTAGGAAAAAAAAAAATGCAACCCAATTATCTAGGACCTCCAATAGAAGTATATGTTCCTTTTGAAATCGGTCCACGAAGTCCTGGAGTAACTCAGTGCCTCCCTGTCGAATGTTGAAGATATCTTCCATCCTCCTTCTAACATTCTAAGCTTCGTAATGCGCCTTAATGAAGGCATCTGTGAATTCTCCAAAAGAACCTATTGAGTTTTCGGATAAAAGTGAATACCAGTTTAATGCTCCCTTTGTGAACATTTTTTCAAACTTTTTGGCCAACATTGATTTGATCTCCTATTTTATCAGGTCATTCCCTTTAGTTCTGGTAGTGTAGGTCGTGACATAGTCTCGAGGATTTAAAGTTCCATCATATTTAGCAAGATCTGACATCCCAAACTTATTGGGAATAGGCATGGGAGCAACCTCCGGCTTCCAAGGCTGTTAAGAATATCTTTCCTTTGAGCAAGGGCAGAGCGCCCCAAGCATCCGGTCAATCCGCTTATTTTACTCCTTGATCTGTTTCATCAAAACTTCCTACAAAGATAAAACTAAACTATGCATATTTGAAGCACTAGTGGTACCTGAACTATCACTCATGAGTTCCTTGGCACCAGAACTTCTTCACACAGCAGTTGGGGTGACTTCTGCCATTTTCAGTCTCAGAGATGCCGGTGATCTTGGATTTGCGTTCTCTCCTAAGGACAATATCATTGTGTTGATTTGCTGGTTTCAAGCCTACTATTGAGCTAGAATTTTGTCTGATCTGGCTATACTCTTGAAGCTTCTCCATTTGCAGTTCTCTGAGGTGAAGGTTCCCTCGAGTTTTGCCAATTCCCTAGAGACTGGCGTAGAGTTGGCTATTCTGCCTGCAACCAACATTTCCAATTTGGCTTTCAATTGGTGTATTTTCTGCCATGATTCCTTACAAATACTAAAAAGCAAAGATCAACAAAAGATTAGCAGCATTTTGGATTAGCCACAGATTTTCTTAGGCCCACAGTGAGCGCGCTAAACTGTTTAACCTAAAATTTGATTATTTATTAGATTAGTCAATTTAATTTATATAGTTAGGCTAGAAGCAATCGAATTAAACCAATGAGGATGAATCTTTGGTAGTACATAGTAAGAGAGCAATGCTAGCAATATAAACAAAAGTAACGAAATAAACTCGAGAATGATGTAAAAAAATTCTTATTATGAAATAATTGGCCAGAAATTGAGAGAAAAGTGCCAAAATCACTCCAATATAATAGTAATATGAGAAATGGAATGTGAATAGGGTATAATCATGGGAAAGAGGAATATTCATAGTACAAGCTAATCGTAACTCCCCTAATATCTCTCTCACATGTTATCTAGGGATATCTATTCGAAATGGCTCTGACCGGACAATCCCGGGATAGCTAGGCTTCTTGATCTTCGGTTTCCGACCTTAGCGATGCCGGATAACTTGGAGCTGATCAGGAAATACTTGTCATGTGCTGACTCTTACCTTGATCATTTGTCATGTACATATTAACCAATATCTTCCCATTTCTACATCTTGTGCATGCTATTCGCCGATGACATAGTTCTGATTGATGAGTCGCGAGTCGGTGTTAACGAGAGGCTGGAGGTTTGGAGACAAGCACTTGAGTCTAAGGGTTTCAAGTTGAGCAGGACGAAGACGGAGTACCTGGAGTGTAAGTTTAGCGTTGAGCCAGAGGAAGTGGGTGTGGATGTGAGGCTTGATTCGCAGGTCATCCCGAGTAGAGGCAGCTTCAAGTACNTTAGGGGTTTTATCTAAGATAGCTAGTGGCAATGTTGTGGCTTACTATTTCGCTTTTTAGTGTATGTCCTATTTACTAGCTATCGCTTTTGCTTTGCATCTTTCCTCTAGATTTCACGGTGTTCCTATTTTTCTTATGATTGTTGTGGCGATACTAATATTTACTAATATTGTCTCCCTTTGCTTTGCATCTTTCTTCTGGATTTCATGGTATTGCTATTTATCCTATGAGT